TGTGATTGGTTTGATTACAGGGAATAATGTCTTCGAGCATAGCTTACTACGTTCAAGGACTTATGATGCAACGAAAAGGACCAGTCTTTGTCACTGCTTTTAACCCTCTTGTCGTTGTCATTGTCTCCATCATGAGCTTCTTCGTTCTCGGCCAAGGAATCTACCTTGGAGGGTACGTTAACAACAACAAACGGTTAATTATGATATATACTCGGTTTAGTCTTGGCTAACTAATTAAATCATACTTTATATTTGTAATTTTCAGAGTTATTGGAGTGGTTGTTTTAACGGTGGGAGTCTACGCCGTGTTATGGGGCAAGCACGTAGATGATGACGGTGAAGAATTACGCCGTGAAGATAACATTTTAGAAGCCGTTAAGTGTTGTAGTGGCATTAATGGTCTCTCGACAATGCCGAAAATCGTTGAAGCTGATGAGGATGTTGAAACCGGGAAAGTTACGATGGTGGAGAAGGAATCATCGGTGGTGGTTGTGGTTTTTTGTAGTGAAAATGTGGATAACGTTTCACGATGCTAATTAGATGGTTCTTTTTGTTTGAGGCAAAGTTGGGGAGAAGAGTAACTTCTTTTTTGATACTTGTAAGTTTGAATTCCTTCCCATGCTTCAAAAGTTTATTTATAGTTTTGATTTCTTAGTGTAACTAATTAAGGATTCGATGTGCCATCGATTTTGATCTTTAACTAGCTAAAGACCTTGTGTAAATCATCACATTTGGTATTAATACACAATCGCTACTTACCATTATATTGTGGATTTAGTGAAGTATATACAACAAAAATTGTATCCTTTGTTTTGATGAAAGTTCTTTTGCCAATAATGATATATTTGATGAAATTTCATTAAAATAATTAAATTTTTTGAAAATAATATTATTTCAGATACAATGATAAAATTTGTAGATGCCACAGTTTATATTTTTGTTTTGGGCTACTAATATCATTGGACCAGCCCCTCCTCCTAACTATAGTTGCATCACCTATTATTCCAAAAATCTGTTAATTGACTGATGCGAATAAAATTCGAAATATAATTATAGGTAGTGAAGATAACGTTTCAGAAGTTATTTGATAGGTCCCAATTATGAGATCGATCAATGTTATCAAGAACAAAAACAAGTTTACTTTAGTTTTCTCTTCACATTCATTTCTCCATTGTTGCTTCTTAAGTACAAAAACTAAAAGAAAGTAACTACTACATGAACATTCTTGTTCACTTTACCACTAATTTAGGAAAAGCACTAACTCCTCATCTCCACAATACATTGAACATATAACCGACATTGGTTTTCTCCGGTTAAGCCGATTGGTTCTCATCAATACTCCACCGTCCAAAAGAACTTTGTCCTCAAAGTTCACGTTTGTGTCTGTGAAGCCACAAAACCCCTAGCTCGCCCACGATCAAATAATCGTTGGAGAAAACGTTCTGGTTCCATGCAAGAAATCACATTGTGGTGGAGTGGAGGAAGTTGGCTCGTCGTCGGAATTCCTTCACCAAATGCAGAGGAGGCAATGGGTTTTGGAACACTTCGGATCCAAAGGGATGTGATAAAGGCGTCAACATGAAACACGTTAACTCCACCGCCGAAGCTTCCACCACCGTCTACGGAGATTGGATCCACATTGTTAACATCGAATATTGGT